AAATAGCCGACAATGATACTAACCTGGGCAAAAACACAGGATTCTTTTACTAAGTAAAAGTAATGCAGATGGCATGAGGTAGTCATTGCAAATTAATTTTCGGGAATATTAAAACAAGTAAGAACATAATAGAAAGCAGGAATAGAAACTTTGAGCGGATATAAACGATTTTCTAATCATATTTCTTTATTGGACTCTTTCCACATTTATGGGCCTATTCGAGCAGAATTTAGTAAAAGATACATTTATGGGCCTATTCGAGCAGAATTTAGTAAAAGAATTTTATACTTTTTATAATTATGAATTCAAAATTTATATCGATTTTTTCTACAATAAAATTTTTCTTCAAGATATGTATGTATATTAGAGTGGATTTCGGAAGAGGGCCTTAAAGTGGTCATCGAGTCAATTATGAATCAAAGTTAAGCATGTTCATATTAAGACAATTTCGAAGACTGCGGACATATCGCTAGGCGGACGAGTATCTTTTTACCGTCTCATGTAGTGAAACTGAGAGATTTCACTATAAATTAAATTCAACAATTTACAAGAAATTTAATTATTTACTTAAAAATTCACTAAAAATTAAATGTTTCTCAAAAAAACTCGATTTGCACTAAAAATATGATATTTCACTAAAAATTAAATTTTTCACTAAAAATTCAATTTTTCACTAAAAATTTTATTTTTCACTAAAAATTAAATTTTTCACTAAAAATTCTATTTTTCACTAAAAATTCAATTTTTCACTAAAAATTCTATTTTTCACTAAATATTATATTTTTCACTAAAAATAAGATTTTCAGTAAAAATTTAATTTTTCACTAAAAATATGATTTTTTTACTAAAAATTCGATTTTTTACTAAAAGTTCAATTTTTACTAATTAACTTTGTGAGAAGTTTACTTTCCGTTTCTATTTTACGAAGGATTTGTATTTGTTGTTTTGTTTTTATTATACACAAGGCTGAAATCAAGGATGGAAACTCTTTATCATCTGTTTTAAGAGGTCGATCGAACATTTTTGAAATAGAACACCTTTTTCAATACCTATATACTGGAGTAAAACTATAAAGTTTTCAAGAAGGCTAAAAAATATGATCATGTTTTAATGTAATCGTTAACAAAGTAATGTTGAATTTTAAAAGAAAAAATAAAACTAAAACGTGACCATGTTTTAAGACAATAAAATTAATGTTGTAGTCACTCGTAGTCTTTGTAATAAATTATTTTGTAACAAAACTGTTTAAGATCAGCTGCCATTATTTGCAGCTATTTATAATTTTTTTAGTTTTTTTGCAAACAATAGAAACCACACTTTTAGTTAAATGTGCTAAAATACTAATAATTCAACATTATTAGAAATGAGGTAATAATAATGGAGGAGAAAAAAAGAAAAAGTATATTTACTTTTTGCAATTTGAAAGTTTAATACCAGGTGGTTGAAATAGAAGTGTACTGTATTGGAAAATATCACTATTAAGATCAATATTGTGTTCTTCGAAAATACCTTGAATATGTTGCTCTGTTTACACGAAATCCTACTTACACTAGTTACTTTTGAAATTATTAGTATTGCGAAAGTAAGCAGTTTAATTGCTTCATTGTTTAGTAACTATTAGTGGACATTTTATAATCATATCATTTACAAGATTGTTTAGAAACTACAATTTTCCTTCAAACTTTAGTTGGAACACTGACAATACATGGCTGCAGCACTGCTTTAGCTTAAATTGATTAACAACCAGAATGATTAGTTAGCTTACAACGAATTCGTTATTGTCCAATAGTCTAGTTTAAAATTCAATGATTTTCTGAAACAACTGTTCCCTTTAAAAAAACACTATTTGAAACACGCTGCCACAGCACTGCTCTGAACACTTAATAAAAACCTTTTAAATGCCACTTTCAACAAAAAAACTGTATTAATTTTTTTAAGTTTCTGTTGTATTCTCATGTTTAAAAATAAAACTAGAACATTTCGCCTCAAGCCTTAAAGGATACAATCATTAAAATTGTCTAACTAAGACTACAACTAAAACCGTTATTAGTTGAAATATTCACATACAGTTTTCAAGTTTCTTCACGAACAAGAGGTGCAACAAAGATTGATCTTCAACAATCAGCAACAGCAGCAAACAGAGTAAAAAACATAACGTCTCAAACAAAAACAAAGTAGCAAGTGGGAAAAATGTTTGAATTGAAGCGAAACATGACTGACATGCATGTTATAATTAATGGCAACATTTAAATATGGAAATTAGTCGTCGTTTAGGTAATAAACATAAACATGCCACAACAATAAACTACTGCAGCAAGAATAAACTATATCAAATTTCCCAGAAACCAACGAGACAACCAAACCCAATTTATGAATATAAGAGACTTGCAACAAACCTCAAAAGAGTAGATTGGATGACAGAAACGTTTTTATTTTTTAAACAATAGTTGCAACAACTTTATACTTGTGTTGCCGCTATATGACTGTCAAAGATGATGTTGCAGCTGATGATGATGAGAAACATGATGATGCTGACAATGATTTTGAAGAGTTAAACATTATTGAGTTATATTCTTTTATGAAGTATAAATGTTGGTACGGGCATATGTTGCATGCTGCAATAAGTGTGAAGTATTATTATATAGACACTGATAACAACATCTTATTGGTTAGTCGGTGGTTGCATGATGCTGCTGTAGCCGCTCATAAAACCACTTGAAAGAACTCGCTAAAAAACACTTTATTTTTTATTAAAGTTTTGTGGATTGGGTGTGTGTACGTTCGTATTGCAGCAACCAACGGCATAGATGGGTCGTTAGAGATAAACTAAAAGTGAGTGAGACAGTGAAGTACTTGAAAATATGAGTTTTAAAAGGCTACATTTAAAAAAAGTTATTCGCGTTTGTTTGCTTTCTATACCCTACTCCAATGTTTTGCGTTTCTGATGAAGTTTGCAACCTTCAAAAATTAGTGGTTTCACCTCCGTTTATTCATCTGGATCGGTAATTTTCTCTAATGAAGTTGATTTCCATCGGATTGACTAATGCTTCAATAGCTGAGAAAATAATCCCGAGACTTAAATCTCAAGAATTCGAATATTATCGCGTGCGTGGACAGTTTTGCATGCCTTACTGATTCATCGTTCCAACCCTGGTTATACTTTGTCTAATTGATATGGGTTCCAGAACAGGATAAAACATACTCTTGCACCTCCAAAAGTTGTGGTTCTGCCACTAATCGGATCATAAATCTATTTTTAAGTATGTACATTCCTCTAGATCTTGAAGTTACTACGACGAACTTGATCTACATCGGATTGTCTAACAACTCAACAGCTTTCCAGGCCATCGATGCGGTGGTGAGAAAAAATAGAGAATTAAATCTCAAGAATTCGAATATATTTTATCACCTACTTCCATCTATTTAGCTCTCATTCACTCTCTGTTCTATATATAGCTAAACTTCGGCAAATTGATATGGATTCCAGAACGGGTTAAAACAATTCTTGTATTGAAGGCCATTCTAGAAAAAAAAAATTCTTCAAAATCTTAATCTTGCCGATGTTAACATCTTGAAATAGGTTGATAGATCTTCTCGTTATCCTTAGCGATGGTATGAGTGTTTTAAGTCTGACTCAATACAAGAGTCCATCTTAGAGAATATGAGAGTATATCAGGTCTAATGAAGGAATTGTTGAATTGAGGTGAAGTCAATAACCGATCCTGGCTGGAGTGATCTTCGTTGATAAAATGGAATTCTCTAAAATAGTTTTCAAAATCATTTTGTGCATCTTAGTGTGAATCTTTCAGATCTGAAAGCATTGAGCATAACGTTGAGCATTACGTTGTAATTGCTGATATCTAGAGGTGAAGTCAGTGAAGTTTCAATAACCGGCACTAGTCTTGGCGTGAGTGATCTTCATTGATGAAGAGAAATATTCATAAGTAACATTCGGAATCATTGTTCTTTTGTAAAACAAAAAATGCAAATCCGTACAAACGGGTTTCTGACCCTGGATTCGTCGAATGGAAAATATATATGTTAAGGGATTTAACCCTCTTCTGCCTTCTTTGATAGAACCCTTGATCAGAGTACAAAGTTTTAAATTTTAAATCTTCTTACAAATGTGAAAATAAAGGATAGTTTTTGAGGGAAACTTTTTCGGAAAATAATATTCAGAATGCTCTGCTCCTAACTTTCACAAAACTGAATTTAGACGTTTTTTTGCCCTTGATAGTTAAAAAAACATGAATATCAAAGCGCATGTCCTGATATAAGGACTAGATTGTTTAGACGAAGGAGAAGAATCGATAGAATACCTAATATGGGCTTGCACCGCTCTAAAAAGACGCTGACAAAGATATATTGGTTCAATTCTCTTTTTTTCATCAGGATACGTTTAAAGCTGTGCCATAGGATTCACAAGATCGCACCAATTGTGAAGGAGTAATATTAAGAGGTTATGAGTCAAATAGCGTCCGAGTTTTTTGAAAATTGGTTTAGCGCATGTCAAAACGTTAAGGATTAAATTTTTAGACGAAGAAAATTAATCGATACAATACCTTCTGATGTAATGGTATTGTTCTAATAGACCGCAAACGAAGATATATATATTGATACAATCCTCTTTTATGAATACATCTTTTAAGGATGTGTCAATGCCGAATCTAATCTAATCTAATTTGTTTTCCCTCGGGAACCACAGGATTCACAAGATCTCTCAAATTATAAAGCAATTACATAAAGCAATATCTATCTTACATATCGGATCTTAACAATGAATTTCCACTGTATTTTCAATTTATCCAAATCTTTAGGGTATTCCATAGTCGGACATATACTAACCAAAGTTTTTTTGCTTTGTTTTCTTTAACAGCCATGTTCAATATTTTGGGGCATTAGTACCCCATGTTTTAGTTGCACATTTTTTTGAAGTTTATCAAAATCTAATAAATAAACAGTTAATTCATACGAAAATGATTGATTAAAACAAGGTCAAAGAGGCTTTAAGAGTTGGCATAATGCAATATTTTAGATACATATTTTTTTAACAAAAATTATTGGTTGATAAAAACATGTGAAAACTTGAAAATATTTAAATACAATTAAGAAAATTTAATATTTTATGCTAAAAACTACGAGGGTTAACTTTAAAGATCAACTCCTTCATAAAATGTTTCCATTAATTCAAGATTAACTTTACCAAATAGCCATTTCATGCGGGGATTGGAATTATCACAAGCATTACCGCGTACTGATAGTTTGCCATTCTTTTCCACTGCCTCCAGGCAATTAACTCCCGCCTGGCCATGAACCAACCATTGGTGTTCGACATCATAGGCCCAGAATTGATTACCACCCATTTGATGACATTCCCACATTAAGACCGGTACATTGGGCTTAATACTTTGCACATCCAGACAGAGTGCCTTGTCGTGTAGGCGAACTTCACGTTTAGGGCTTAAAAGCCAGTACTGATTAGGCTGAGGATGTGTCTTATTTACGGCACAAGTGTAGAGACCCACTTTACTATTACTACCACCATTGAGAGTATCTAGGCAATAAGAGGGAAAGGCCTGGCTTTGTATAACACCGGAGGCATAATTTTCCTTTTCTTTATTTGGGTAATTAACCAGCAAATCGGGAGCAATTTCATCCAGAAACCATTGAAATGATTTGCATTGTAATGACTCCCTCAAGGCTTTCTGTTTCGTCAAATCACCGGTATCTAAATTTTCATAGGCAGTGGGATTACGGGCATAGAAATCATGTTTGTAATCATCCATCCAGACCTCAGCAACACGTTTGTGGTTCTAGATTTTGAAAACATTAACAATATTTTATGATTTTTTTTTTCATTTCTCAAATTACTCACCCTTGCCACAAAATTATAATCCCTAGGACTAGGTCTGGTTTCCATTGGTCCCCTAAAAACATGACCCACTCTCGAACAGGGCACATCAAATAACAAACCGCCACACATCCATATTTTAAAACTCAATTCATATTGTTCGGCACCCCAGATATCCAAACCCTCATCATAACCACCCAGTTCCCAAAAATATTCCCTATTAATGGCAAATAGACCACCCATCATAATAGGATTGGGATAAGGCTCGGTAGGATCGGCTGAGAATTCTGGTAATTGAGGCATTAACTTGTAAATCATATTCCAATCAAAAGCTCCCCTTAAAGCTGTCTTAACAGCTTCCCTATAGGCAAATGTGGCATGTTCAATAACATCCACTATGGGTGAGGTAGCAATTTTAGGATTAAGGGCAATTGGTTGTAGCAGAGGTGGCAACCAATTGTAACCACATTCTATGTGGGAATCAAAGAATACCAAAACATCACTGGTAGCTTGACGGGCACCAGCCAAACGTGCGCCAATCAGACCTGTACGTTCCTTTAAACGTATGATTTTTACTAAGTCGCCAAAATGTTGCGAGAGATACTGTTCCAGTTCTTCTTTCAAATACTCACGATCGCTGTAGTCATCTACAATGATGATTTCTTTTAATAATTCGGCTGGAGATCGCCTGACAATACTGTAGAGTGTGCGTATTAATACGGAAAAGTATTCATTGTAGAATGGTATGACTATACTAACGGTGGGTAACTGGGCCAAATATGATTTTGATAAGCAACTGTACGATAAGAAACAAAAAAGATATTTAACATAGTGATCGATATAAATATCACATTTCAAATAAATTTTGAAATTTCATAAAAGTTTTCCACTTCGAACTAACCTCTCATCTCTTACATCCGCCACTGAACGATTTACGGAAATATAATCCGATAGCAAAGCATTAAAACCATTTTCATTAGATAATTTCTTTTCCAATTCCAACAATGAATCATTTTTCAAATAAGCTGCCTCGCCTTGCTCTCCAATACCAACACGTTGCAAGTCTTCCATCATGCTTTCGAAATCTTCCCAATCTCTTATGGGTCCTTCGGCTTTTGGCAATTCAAAATAAGATTTATTCACTTTTATTTTCGGTTCTTCACGCATACGATTCCAATCCAAATGAGTCCAATTCTTGGGTATTGGAAATCTTTTTGGATGAGGCTGTGGTGGCTTTGGGGGACGTTCGGTAGCTGATTTAAAGGCATTATAAAAAGGTTCTGTTTTATTGTCGCCATTTTGATCTAAATTATCATCCTCTGTTTTTGAGGGTTTTTTTAAATCCAGTACCAACGCTATTGTTAGAGCTAAAAATAAAGCTGCCAAAGCATAAAATATCGGTTTTTGAGATCGTTTTTTCGCCACGCGTTTTTTCATTTTTATAGATTTTTTTTTTAAATAATATTCGAATTTGCTGTTTTCAGAGAGACGTGTACATTTAGACTGATGTGTTAAAATGTCTTATTTTAATTGTTTTACTTTTTAGAGGAATGTTTTATTTTTCTTAATTTATTTGTAATTATTTTAAAAGCATTTTGTTGTGTTTAAGTGTTTAAAGAAGAAGACATTTTTTTATGAAATATTGATAATTTTTTGGAACTGAAGTAATGACGTCTTTGTTTTATGATAAAAAAAATAGATACAATACTGTTAAGCAATTGCATTGACACTATTTGTGACATAATTTTCGAAAGAGATAATGAGCAGAAGAGAATAAACTTTTATGGAATTGATTCCAAAACGAGAAATTCTCAAGTTTTAAAAATTGAATAGTAACAATTCTGCATAAAAATCATTAGCTTGATTGTTCACCAAAATGTTCGATCGGTACTGATAACATCTCGTCTATAGTCTCGTCTATAATGTAGTCGATACTTCAGTCTATAGTATATAGTCTAGTCTATAGTCCAGTCTATAGTCTAGTCTATATTTAGTCTATAGTCTAGTCTATAGTCTAGTCTATAGTCCCTAGTCTATAGTATAGTCTATAGTCTAGTCTATAGTCTAGTCTATAGTCTTGTCTATAGTATTCTCTATAGTCTAGTCTAAACCCTTGTCTATAGTCTAGTCTAAAACCCTGTCTATAGTAGTCTAGTCTATAGTTAGTCTATAGTCTAGTCTATAGTCTAGTCTATAGTCTAGTCTATAGTCTATAGTCTATAGTCTAGTCCTATAGTCTAGTCTATAGTCTAGTCTATAGTCTAGTCTATACTATTCATAAGGTCTAGTCTAGTCTAGTCTATAGCTAGTCTAGAGTCTAGTCTATAGTCTATAGTCTAGTCTATAGTCTAGTCTATAGTCTAGTCTATAGTCTAGTCTATAGTCTAGTCTATAGTCTAGTCCTATAGTCTAGTCTATAGTCTAGTCTATAGTCTAGTCTATAGTCTAGCTATAGTCTAGTCTATAGTCTAGTCTATAGTCTAGTCTATAGTCTAGTCCTATAGTCTAGTCTATAGTCTATAGTCTAGTCTATAGTCTATAGTCTAGTCTATAGTCTAGTCTATAGTCTAGTCTATAGTCTATTCTATAGTCAAGTCTATAGTCTAGTCTATAGTCCTAGTCTATAGTCTAGCCTATAGTCTAGTCTATAGTCTAGTCTATAGTCTAGTCTATAGTCTAGTCTATAGTCTAGTCTATAGTCTAGTCTATAGTCTAGTCTATAGTCTAGTCTATAGTCCTAGTCTAGTCTATAGTCTAGTCTATAGTCTAGTCTATAGTCTAGTCTATAGTCTAGTCTATAGTCCTAGTCTATAGTCTAGTCTATAGTCTATAGTCTGTCTATAGTATTCTCTATAGTCTAGTCTAAACCCTTGTATATAGTCTAGTCTAAACCCTTGTCTATAGTCTAGTCTAGTCTATAGTCTAGTCTAGTCTAGTCTATAGTCTAGTCTATAGTCTAGTCTATAGTCTAGTCTATAGTCTAGTCTATAGTCTAGTCTATAGTCTAGTCTATAGTCTAGTCTATAGTCTAGTCTATAGTCTAGTCTATAGTCTAGTCTATAGTCTAGTCTATAGTCTAGTCTATAGTCTAGTCTATAGTCTAGTCTATAGTCTAGTCTATAGTCTAGTCTATAGTCTAGTCTATAGTCTAGTCTATAGTCTAGTCTATAGTCTAGTCTATAGTCTAGTCTATAGTCTAGTCTATAGTCTAGTCTATAGTCTAGTCTATAGTCTAGTCTATAGTCTAGTCTATAGTCTAGTCTATAGTCTAGTCTATAGTCTAGTCTATAGTCTAGTCTATAGTCTAGTCTATAGTCTAGTCTATAGTCTAGTCTATAGTCTAGTCTATAGTCTAGTCTATAGTCTAGTCTATAGTCTTCTAGTCTAGTCTATAGTCTAGTCTATAGTCTAGTCTATAGTCTAGTCTATAGTCTAGTCTATAGTCTAGTCTATAGTCTAGTCTATAGTCTAGTCTATAGTCTAGTCTATAGTCTAGTCTATAGTCTAGTCTATAGTCTAGTCTATAGTCTAGTCTATAGTCTAGTCTATAGTCTAGTCTATAGTCTAGTCTATAGTCTAGTCTATAGTCTAGTCTATAGTCTAGTCTATAGTCTAGTCTATAGTCTAGTCTATAGTCTAGTCTATAGTCTAGTCTATAGTCTAGTCTATAGTCTAGTCTATAGTCTAGTCTATAGTCTAGTCTATAGTCTAGTCTATAGTCTAGTCTATAGTCTAGTCTATAGTCTAGTCTATAGTCTAGTCTATAGTCTAGTCTATAGTCTAGTCTATAGTCTAGTCTATAGTCTAGTCTATAGTCTAGTCTATAGTCTAGTCTATAGTCTAGTCTATAGTAGTCAATAGTCTAGTCTATAGTCTAGTCTATAGTCTAGTCTATAGTCTAGTCTATAGTCTAGTCTATAGTCTAGTCTATAGTCTAGTCCATAGTCTAGTCTAAACCCTATAGTCTCGTCCATATTTTACTCTATTCTTTAGTTTATAGTCTAACCTATAATGCAATCTACTTTCAAAGTAAATTAAACAATTTGATAATTTTTGTCAATTTCAACGTTAAATACCTAAAATTAGCATACACCCAAATAATTCCAAATTTAATTCTAAATTTATTTCTTTTGTTTTCATTACAGCTTTTAAGCTCTTTGGCAACTGATTTGGATATTATGCTAAATGACCTAAGGTCATCGCCAAGTTCACGTCTGAGTTCAAACTCACACCATTTGCATACACGTTCCACAGCCACATACACACCGTTTGCCTTAAATATTGGCAACAACAGCAGTAGTAGCAATAACAGTCACAATACAACAAATCAAAGTAACAACTATTTACAAAATGCTGCAATACATAATAGTGGCAACAGTAATTATCCAGGGAACAATGAACAAAAAACCAATAGAGATGAATTTGCTGGAAATAATGGTGAATGCAGCAATAGCAGTAGCAATGACTACAATGACTATCGAACAAATCAAAGGCAACGCGAACAACAGCAGGAGTCACAACAACAGCTGCGAGATAATCAAACATCGGCATCATTATTAGTGACAGTGAAACAAGAAAAACTTAATCAAACTTTAAGTGCAAATTGTAATCAACAGCAACAACATTTCAATCAAAATCTAACAGACAATGGCAACTATAACAAGTGCCAACAACAACAACTGCATCAACATAGATTTAGTGATAGCAACAATAACAACAATAATAATAATTGTACTGCTGGTGTTGGTAGTGGCACCAGTGTGGGGAAAAGTATTACAACAACCGGAAGCCATGCCAACAGCACGGATATAAAAACAACAACAACTACAACACCAACAACAAAATCATTGTCTTCATCTTCAACACCATTCCAGGGATTTTCAACAGATGTTACTCGCATATCCAAACTACCATTGTATACGTATCAGCACAAACAATTGCAACAACCACAAACGTTGCACATCAAGTTGCTGCAACAACAGCAGGCCACAAAAGCAATAGCCTCACAAATCACCACCACAACGTCGGTGGCGGCCTCAACGATGGCGGTGGCTACAACGGATATACAACAAAATGTGGTCAATAAACGCACTCTCGCCAAGATGAATGATACTGCCGGAGGAGCAGGAGGAGGTAGGAATAGCACTAATAACAGCTACAGCAACTATGGCAAAAACAACATCATTGCCAGCAACGTTAGCGGCAGGAAAAAAATTAATTGTGAAAATGCCACCACATCTAAAGCCGCATGCACTAGAACCACCACAACAAATCCATTAACAACAACTTCGACATCATCTCTAGATTTTAGAATAAAATCAATACAATCATCATCGTCATCAACATCATCATCGTCAGCAACTACAGCAACTGGTAAATCTACTCATATTTATAAAATCAATTCATCATCTTCAACCTCCAGCAGCAGCAGAAATGCCACTGGTAGTAGTAACTCTACCAGTTGGTTGCAATCAACTTCAGCCTTAACGTCATCAGCATCTACATCATCTTCAGCAGCATCGTCAGCATCAGCCACAGCTTCATCATCAAGTTTTCTCAGGTGAGTAACACAGTTTTTGATTTAATTGTATATATCAGGGTTGGGAAATTCCGTACTATTGTAAATTTTTCTGTACTTTTTGACAACCGCCTTACTTTCTCCCCCACTACAAAAATAGATTTAGAATAGACAAAAGATTAATACAAAGACTAGTCCATACACTGATCCGTCAACTACTTAATGGATTAGTCCATAAACTAGTGAATAGTTTAGTGTATAAACAAGTTAATTGATTAATCCCAAGATTAGTCAATAGACTTTTCAGTGAATAGACTAGCGGATAAACTACTCCACAGACTATAGACTAGTCAAAAATGTAATCCATATACTAGTCAATAGTCTAGTGCATAGAATAGTCAATATACTGGTAGGTAGACTAGTAAATCGATTAATAGACTGATCCATATCCTAGTCAGTGAATTAGGTCATAGATTAATGAATAGTCTGGTATATAGTCTAGACCACTGACTAGTCCATAGACTTTATCATAAACTATTGAATTGACTATTCTTAAAAGACTAGTCAAATCTGGACCATCTTACTACTTAATGTTTAAGTCAATAGACAGTTTAACAGACTAGTCGATATTTTAGTCCATAAAATAGTCTATATTCTTGCCCATAGACTATTGAATAGTGTAGTCTATAGACCATTGAATAGTGTAATCTATAGACTATTGAATAGTGTAGTCTATAGACAAGTCAAAAGTCTAGTCCAAAGGCTAGTCAATAGTCTAGTCCATAGACTAATCAATAGTCTAGTCCGTAAACTAATATGGACTGGTCTGTGACTAGTCGATACCTTAGCCCATAGTCTAGTGAATAGACTACTCCATAGCCAAAAGTCCAGTCCATATTTAGTTCATAGACTGGTCAATAGGCTGGTCCATTGACTATTCAATCATTTTATCCATAGACTAGTCAATAATCTAGTTCATAG